CTGCGGTAAACTTGCGGATTTTCTGCGGTAAATTCGTGCGGAATATCTGCGGCATTTTTGTGGTAGATTTGCGGCATTTTTGTGGTAGATTTGTGGCATTAGGGCCTCATGTTAATTTGTTTCTGTTTTCATGCCGCTAAAATTCCACATAAATGCCGCGTCCCAATACTCCGCATGTGTGGCAAAGTTGCGGCATTTGCATGCGGTAATTTCTGTGGAAAAACTGCGGATTACCGCATGTGTTGCGGAATTCTCACGTAGGGGTAACAGTGTATTATAAGTGTAGGTGTTGCACCATACAATAGCTGCATAGCTGATCCATTGAAAACAAGTGAGCATGAACAAGCTGAACCCCAAGCTACAGTTAGCCCTGGAAGCTTGTCACAGCAATTGTCTGACATTACAATGTTGGCTCTCAACATAACCGTACCCTAGCAGTAACCTTGAGAGGCACATTCGGTTAAAGGTCACATAAACCCTAGGGGTAAAAATACATAAATCACTAACTGGCATCGTTATAAATGAAACCCGTCATTAAAACTACTCATTTCGACCTTTAATTGACTTAAATCGACCTTTTTGACAACAGTGCACAATTCTCACCCATGAGCGAAATTTCAACCAATCAGGCGGCTAGCGACTCTGTGGCGTCATATGAGGAATAGCTTTGAGGGCGATGCAGAATTCATCTACATTTTAGGGGTAAAATTATCTTGTTTACAGGCTTGTATAAACCTGAAATCGTGACAATTGTTGTGGAAAATGAAAGCTATATGTTCTCACAATCTACTGGCATTTAATTTTGTCTCCTGCTTTGCCTAGTTTCGAGTTACAACTTGTTTTCATAGAGCGCTTCTGTCACAATTGATTGGTGTCGTTAGGCCCTATTTGTATAATGACTGATCCAAATTGATCCCATTTCTGTGTTTTTTACCTCGATATTTAATCATGTCATGTAAAAATCTGTTTGTATTCTCAAAACAGTGTCGGCCCATAAGTTTTCACATGCAATACAGCAATTAATACTCCCTTGTTGTAACCCGTGTTAGGTGGTATAAACCTACACATGTTATTTGTCATCATTCACTTGATGGTCAGTTAATGAATTTATAACAGGTATAATTAGTGGTAACACACTTAGATTACCGACAAAGGTTCCCATTTGGCATTTCTTGTGTCTGGAGTAAATATTCAACATTATGAACATCGATCAAAGGATTAACCGATAACACGCTGATTGATTAATTACTTTTATCTTACACAGCGGAATTGTCAAAGGTAGTGTTTATGTATGTAGATTTACTAATCTATACTGAATACACTCTGCCGTGTCGGTGTCTGCGTAAAAACAACGTCCTTCTTTCAAAGGATTAACCGGCAATACATTGATTGATTGCCCATTATTGGCTAACTAAATTACTGTTTTTAATGAAAGGCGGACATTATGCAATTAGTTGCCAGGTGTGCTATCTTGGGTGACCAATGAGACTATACACCAATACCTGAAAAGATTTATCACTTTTTCGTATATTAAACTGTTAAAAGACACATCATTTGGAACAGTTTTGTGGATATTGATGGATACATTCCTCAAACAAGGTAATGGCCTGATATTGTTCCTATAACTTTAATCTGTTTTAATTTTAATATTTGCATTTTGTTTTTTAATCATTTGTCGTAGCATTCAACAGAATCATTGTTTTCGCCGTGAAGTGTAATGAGACAGACAACATACACTAGGGTGTGTGTGCGAATTATGATTCACATTGGCAAACTATAAAATGTCTAGATATTACAGTTCTGTTATAAATTCACTATAAGTATCATCAGCAGATCGTCAGCTTTTTATTTAGTTTCAAAATGCATAAAAGTATGATAATAAACTAATTAGGATTATAAGACCAAATATAAAGACGCACATTGACTAGTATCTACATACTGGTGAGTGGACATTAACCATGTGAATGTAGCAAGAAATTTATCGGCGCAGTATTGTGACTTGACCCCCACCTCGCTTCCGTGGAAGAAATCGTTATGTTATAAGTTGTGTCATGCAAAATCCTTTTGGTTATGATTCCAATACATATTTAACTACGAGTAGAAAGTAGTTTTGATTTTCTAACTTGATGAAAACAAACTATAATCTCATTAATTCTAACAGACTTTACGATTTTCCAAAATGGCGGCCCTGTCGGAACATCCGCCAGTCTGTGGATAAATGCTATTTAGGTTTGTTTTCACCGAGTTACAAAATCAAAACTACTTTCTACTGGTAGTAAAATATGTATTTTATTGATAATAATAGGATTTTGCATGACATAGCGTATAACATAACAATTTCTCTCCTGGCAGCGAAGGTGGATGTCAATATAATACTACTTACAATATTATTGTTACTTCGACCACAACCTCACTTCCGAGGAAGAAATCGTTATGTTACAAGTTGTGTTATGGAAAATCTTTATGGTCATCAATCATATACATATTTTACTATAACTAGTAAGTAGTAGTTTGATTCTTTAACTTCCGTGAAGCGATCTGAACACAAGTAAGATATCGTTTCAGGCTTCCACAACGCTTTCGCTTCAGCACTCACAAACATAACCCATTTAGCACGAACTGCGGGGTCCTGTGGAAATCTGTGCATGGTGACACCATCACCCGACCCCTAGGAGCAATTGGCGACAAAGCAGCGATTGGCGTATGTAAAATCGTTGATGTCGAGAAATCATCAAAATGATGAGCGTGCTACACACTTTCTATACAACTAACTGAAAATCGTTCCTCATATGGCGTCACTGCAGTGCTCTGGCGACAGAGTTACGTAACCTGTCTGTGGTTTTAGTTGGCGGGAGAGAAAGCAGGCGACTTTTGGCCACTTTTAATGGCTTTCGGTATTAATTAACCACAAGTTTTTAAAGAATAAATTTGGTGTTCCGCATAAGACTAACCACAAATCTTTCATATGTAATGGTTAAAAGAGTAACAAAAACAAAGTTTAGTGGTTCTTCAATTACCTAATAAACCATATATTGAATGCTATTACTTTTAAATAAATAGGTCCAAAAAGAAAGGAATAGATTTCATGAACAGAATATCATTGAGTTTATACAAAGCATCCACCTATTTAAATATTCCATCCACTCATTCATTTATAATGTGGTTTGTAATTTTGTGTTTCAAAGAGGTTTTCTTGCATATTTGGGACCCATACATATAACAATACAGGATTTTGAGCACCCCTACATGGCCTCTAGGGATTGTGCTGGGTGAGATGCAATTAAACAGACCTTGGAAATATTATAGTCCATACATATCTAATGTGTTGAGATTTAAATCTGTGGGCATTCATATTGGATATGAGGTGTTGTTATTATTCCCATCACCTGTGACACTTGACAATGAGGCTGTTTGTTGATTGCGGAGTCAGATTGATGAGATTTCACTACTGACAATGGCCGCCACTCAACTGTGTTGGCTCAAATGTTCATTTCTTAAGAGCTCATTTAATAGTTTGGATACATAATATTTGACATGGGTCCTGATGTCTAGTAGCTGAGAAAGTGGGCAATAAACAGAGAACCCTTCAATGAATAAGACCAACTGGTTGTTCCCAAGTAGCCTGCCAAAATAGGCGTATTTTGTATAGCCATCTAGTTGACATTCATTGGCTGTTTGCTTCAGGATAGCTGTTTTGTTCCATGGTATTGAGTGATATTAGACAACCATACCAATTGCCACAGTTGGACAGGCTACAGGCTTCAGGGACAATAATGCCGAATTTATGTATGTCCCCGTTTAAAGTAGGACAAAACCATGTTGGCAATTAACACTTTCCACTGTAAGTGTATTGCAATGTTCAGAATCAATTTCTTTAGAATGTTCTGATTTTTCTGTGATATTTTTTGTTTTCCTCCTCGAAATATTCCATAAGAATATTCTGCATGGAGGTTGAAATATAAAACTAATGTCTAAATAACAAGAAAAGCAGTATACAAATGCATTGACCCTGAACTTGCCTACCTTACCATATCATAATCCACCACCCCAAGAAATCCCAACGTTACCACCACCCCTCCCCGAAAAAAAATGAAAAGAAAAGAACAACACCCCTACCATAACAACTCACAGCTCCAAACATCCCCCAGGGACGGTGGGGTAGCCAGTGGGTCCGGGTTCCATTTCCAACTTGGGTATAATGTGTGAAGCCCATTTCTGGTGTACCCAGCCGTGATATTGCTGGAATACTGCTAAAAGCAGAGTAAAACAAAACTCACTCACTCAAAACATCCCAGGCCTAAAGTCGCTGTGATAAAGTCCATTGTGGTTTTTCTCATAGCAAAAATAGAATTTACAAGAGTTAATCATGTGACTATTACATTAAGTGATCAGTTGATCAGTTGATGGGAACAACATAGACAATGTATGACAACTCATTACTGAGATAAAGAGGTTTTATTAACCTTTAACAAGTTTCAATTGAAGCTGCATTGCGAGTATTGATTTATGTTAGGAGGCAGTAAAGGAACAAATGGTGACTGTTGAGGTGTATCAATGTACCTGTCCAGGGGTCTTTGTTTTAGTGTTGTTCCCAGGACTTGTAATGCGCATCAATGTGTATGATCATCTGACTACTTCCCAGTTTTCATCTCAGTACAGTTGGGCGTGGTGGTGGGAGTGACAACTGGTCACAGGCCACTGCAGTTCTCCATACAAGTCATTTTACCATTTAGCTTTGTTTACCATCTCAAGACTGAACTCACTGAATCATGGTCTGCTCCTGTGAAACTTCATCCCTGTGATTGACAATCGCATCTTCATCCTATGATGTTATCAAATACAAGGTCATTATGTATGGTTGTGCCTGAAGTTGAAGCACTCCTGAGCAGTTGATGGAATCATTAGTCCTACAGCGGATAGGAAACAATTACAGCCATACAAACTGTATTGATCGTTTGTGAGTTGAATGTTGAGGTACATGTACAGGTTTGACATTTCAGGGTGATGCTATAGACCGTCCTTCAGAGCCTGCCCCAGAATCCAGCCAGGGGCCCCCGTCTCAGGATGAGGACACTAAGGAAGGGGGTGAGGAGGGGGGAGAACAAGATGAGGATCAGACCACAGAAGACTGAAAACACCCACAACATACTCAATACTAATCATGTCTAATTGCATTTGAGCATTATGCAAATCTCGTTATTTTGGTAGTTTACAAACATGCCATCCATTGACATATTTATTATTTGTTATAAATGTCACTGTAAATCATTGTGAATGCCTGTGTGAATATACAAGTTTGGAGGAAGAAAACAAGAAATGATTGAAGATTCAAATAGTAAGTTCACTGGAACTAGTGAACATTTGAGTTCTGAAGATTTTAAAATAGTGTAAAAGTTAACAGGATACTATGATATGTTTTGTATTTATGAAATTTGTTATATAAGTGTCATATATTTACAATGTGTGAGTTTGTATTTTGTAATGACAGCACACAGCATGATCATACATGGGCATGTCGTATGTCTGCCTCATTCTATACAGGGCATGCATGTATGCTATTGTACAGTTATACAGTGTCTGTCATTGGCCACATAGTGCATGTAAATAGCAGTGTGTTCTCTGCCAGGTTAACTTATCTTGCATTCCACTCCACATGTGTCTGGTTGGATGTGGAAGATGATGTACAGAACTATAGCTGTGGTATACACTGGACACTATGTACATAAAACCCCTCAAACTTATTTTCATCTCTGATTCTGATTAATACTATATTTTTATCAATAAACTTCCATCTTTTGTTGAATCTTGGTACTTGTGTTTTTTTGTTGAAAGATTTCTATTGTTATTGAAAATGAATTAGAAAATGTGAATCGTATCTCAGCTGTCTATGAACCGCAGGATATACAATAAAACTTCAAGTAGATTTCCAGGAAATGTGTGCAAGATTCAAGATGATATCTGCAACAATGTTATACATGCTGTTTGTTATGTATGCTGAATGCAACATATATTAAGATTTATAATAACTGGTAGAAATAAAACACTATAATGTGAACAAAACTATGTGACTATTAGATAGGACTTGTCAGTCAGTCAGTTTCAGAAAAGACATTTGTACTGAGTCCACAACGTTTTACAGCAAATGTCTAGTCATGGTAAGGGACCCTTCAATAATTTATGGTGGTGGTGTGTGTGTGTGTGTGTGTGTGTGGTGATGATGATGATTTATATAGAGAGGCATGTACTATGTGAGTGCCCCCCCCTAAAATTTAGGTACAAAGTAAGTGAAGACCGCCCTGCATGTCATGTACAAAGCAATGACCCCCTCCCCCTTGCCATATTTTTTAAGCATAATTTAAAAATATTATTGTGCACAAAATTTTTGACCCCCCCACCCTCGGTACATGTGTATCAAATTGATGCCCCCTCTCCCCAAAACAAAATGGGTGACCGCCCCCTTAAAATCATCATCACCCCCTAGCCATAAATTATGAACGGTCCCTAAACATATATACATAAATATATATTGTGAAAATTTGTTTATACAATAAATGAGAGAGTAATGGCGATAAAAGAGTCTGCTGAAAGTGTTAACTTCTTCAACAAAATATGTATCAAGTTTTCAACTTTGTTCGGTTCAAATATGTGAAGTGTCATCTTCCACTTGTTTCAGATGAGGTAGTGTTCACTGAGGTTACAGACTCAGATCGACGTTCATCATTGAAAATTTCTTTTTCGACACCCAGTTCAGAACAAGAGCACGTTTTGTTTCTGTATATATTTTGTTTAGTGATGAGTAATCGGGTGACTGGTGGGAGAGTGTTCTCTGTTTGTGTCAATATGTTCGTATGGGGAGGGACACCGCTAGTCACACCTCTTCCCTCGCCCGGGTATTGTAATGTTTCTCCCGACCTTGGTCACCGCCACTTGCCTTCACGACCAGGATATAAAACTATCAACACTCGTGTCTTTGTCCAAGTTTAATGATCTGAGCGGGGTAGTTATGTTTTAATCTCCCAAGTCAATAGGCGCCAGGCCGGGCTGTCTTGCAGCTTCTTTCCAGAAGTCAAAGGGGAACATCTCATTCTCCTCCAACAATAAGAAAACATGGACCATTTGACAAGCAGTTTCTGTCATTACTGCGCACGTGACTGCCACGTGCCGCATCAGTTTGTGTCCAAGATAGTAACTATCTGCACGTGAATCTTTTGTGTGATGTTGTTGACCACTGGGCATGGAGGCGATGAACTATTTCCCTCACACTTGTGAAATACATCTACTTCAACGTAGGAGGTTCACGGACCTGCTGCCAACCGCCTTGCCACGTTATCTATGTGACGTTTTAACATGCCTCTCAGTCCTTAATGTCAATCTCTTGACTCTCTAGATGAAAAAACGTGTGTTCAAACAAGGCCAGCGTTTCAAAGGCTGAAAAGAATCAACATAAAAACCTCGGTAATTTACGTACATAATGAAACACTTTCCCTGAGACAGTTCCCTTTCCCGCTTGAGTGAAGAATGGGTTTACCCCCGTTAAGTGAGATGGTGGATACAGACGCAAGTGTTTGTGTACATACATCGCGGCGTTGGGAAGCAACACCCTCCACCTAGCGGAATGACTCGTACATAAGTGTATCTATGCAAACATTAGGGCTTTTCATCTCCCCTACACGTTTAAGATGGATGGCGGATTCCTATAGATGCATGCATGTTGGTGTAAATTATATTTGTCTTCACTCATTCACAACTTTCATTTTCGATTTTCTTATTTTCAAAGAGCGCTCAAATGAAGTTTTATTGACAAATACAGGTGCTGGAACTGGAGTAACGCACGTTCTGATTAGAGTTACCCGCGCTAGTCAACCATGTATTGACTTACTATCTAACGTCTTTTCTATCAATACGTGCCTCCTACCAATACATCATGCATATTGTATCAATACGTGCCTCCTACCAATACATGCATAATGTATCAATACGTGTCTCATACCAATACATGCATAATGTATCCATACGTGTCTCCTACCAATACATGCATATTGTATCAATACGTGCATCCTACCAATACATGCATAATGTATCAATACGTGTCTCCTACAAATACATGCATAATGTATCAATACGGGTCTCCTACCAATACATGCATATTGTATCAATACGTGTCTCGTACCAATACATGCATAATGTATCAATACGTGTCTCCTACAAATACATGCAGATTGTATCAATACGTGTCTCCTACCAATACATGCATAATGTATGAACACGTGCCTCCTACCAATACATGCACATTGTATCAATACGTGCCTCCTACCAATACACGCATATTGTATCAAACGTGTCTCCGACGAATACATGCATAATGTATCAATACGTGCCTCCTACCAATACATGCATATTACATCGAACGTGTGTCCTACCAATGCATGCATAATGTATCAATACGTGTCTCCTACCAATACATGGATATTGTATCATTACGTGCCTCCTACCAATACATGCATATTGTATCAATACGTGCACCCTACCAATACATGCATAATGTATCAATACGTGTCTCCTACCAATACATGCATATTGTATCAATACGTGTCTCTAACCAATACATGCATAATGTATCAATACGTGTCTCCTACCAATACATGCATAATGTATCAATACGTGTCTCCTACCAATACATGCATAGTGTATCAATACGTGTCTCCTACCAATACATGCATAATGTATCAATACGTGTCTCCTACTAATACATGCATAGTGTATCAATACGTGTCTCCTACCAATACATGGACATTGTATCATTACGTGCCTCCTACCAATACATGCATAATGTATCAATATGTGCACCCTACCAATACATGCATAATGTATCAATACGTGTCTCCTACCAATACATGCATAGTGTATCAATACGTGTCTCCTACCAATACATGCATATTGTATCAATATGTGTCTCCTACAAATACATGCATAATGTATCAATACGTGTCTCCTACCAATACATGCATAATGTATCAATACGTGCCTTCTACTAATACATGCATAATGTATCAATACGTGGCTCCTACCATTACATGCATAATGTATGAATACGTGCATCCTACCAATACATGCATAATGTATCAATACGCATCCTACATGCAATACATGCATAATGTATCAATACATTGTCTCCTACCAATACATGCATAATGTATCAATACGTGTCTCCTACCAATACATGCATATGTATCAATACGTGGTCTCCTACCAATATCAATACGCATACATGCATATCATCAATGCGTGCCTCCTACCAATACATGCATATTGTATCAATGTGTCTCCTACCAATACATGCATAATGTATCAATACGTGCCTCCTACCAATAATGCATAATGTATCAATACAGTGTCTCCTACCAATACATGCATAGTGTATCAATACGTGCCTACCAATACATGCATAATGTATCAATACGTGTCTCCTACCAATACATGCATAATGTATCAATACATGTCTCCTACCAATACATGCATAATGTATCAATACGTGCCTCCTACCAATACATGCATAATGTATCAATACGTGCCTACCAATACATGCATAATGTATCAATATGTGCCTCCTACCAATACATGCATAATGTATAAATACGTGCCTCCTACCAATACATGCATAATGTATCAATACGTGTCTCCTACCAATACATGCATAGTGTATCAACACGTGCCTCCTACCAATACATGGATATTGCATCAATACGTGCCTCCTACCAATACATGCATATTGTATCAATACGTGTCTCCTACCAATACATGCATAATGTATCAATGCGTGTCTCCCTACAAATACATGCATAATGTATCCAATACATGCATACTGTATCAATACGTGTCTCCTACCAATACATGCATAATGTATCAATACGTGCCTCCTACCAATACATGCATAATGTATCAATACGTGCCTCCTACTAATACATGCATAATGTATCAATACGTGCCTCCTACCAATACATGCATAATGTATAAATACGTGCCTCCTACCAATACATGCATAATGTATCAATACGTGTCTCCTACCAATACATGCATAATGTATTAACACGTGCCTCCACCTACACGGATGCAAATACATGCATAATGTATCAATCCAATACGTGCATCATGTATCAATACGTGTCTCCTACCAATACATGCATATTGTATCAATACGCCTCCTACTCAATACATGCATATACAAACGTGTCTTCTGTATGCAAATGTATAAATACGTGCCTCCTACCAATACATGCAGATTATATCGAACTTGTCTCCTACCAATGCATGCATAATGTATCAATACGTGCCTCCTACCAATACATGCATAATGTATCAATACGTGTCTCCTACCAATACATGCATAATGTATCAATACGTGTCTCCTACCAATACATGCATATTGTATCAATACGTGTCTCCTACCAATACATGCATATTGTATCAATACGTGTCTCCTACCAATACATGCACATTGTATCAATACGTGCCTCCTACAAATACATGCATAATGTATCAATACGTGTCTCCTACCAATACATGCATAATGTATCAATACGTGTCTCCTACCAATACATGCATAATGTATCAATACGTGGTTCCTACCAAAACATGCATAATGTATGAATACGTGCCTCCTACCAATACATGCATAATGTATCAATATGCTGGTCTCCTACCAAAACATGCATAATGTATCAATACGTGCCTCCTACCAATACATGCATATTGTATCAATACGTGTCTCCTACCAATACATGCATATTGTATCAATACGTGTCT